TTAGTATTATTAGTAATTAATTAATTTATTATAATATAATAATACACTGGAACCTCCAACCATTGCATCTCTGACCATTGCAGTTGTTTACCAAAACTTGGTGGGCAGCGGCAAGAAGAGTCAGAAGTGAAAAAATGGCGTCAGTCAAGAAAAAGCAGTAACGTCACAGTTGCGTGTTCTTTTAGACACAGTTTCTTTTTCCTTTTTTCTAATTTAAACAATCGATCGGAGTTATCGATATTATAAACTGCATTATTATTATTTAAACGTACGTAATTATATTTATACTTTTCTACTTTATGAAGAATTAAATTATTCTCAATTTTTATTCGAACATATATCCAATACATAAGTATATAATATGTACGGCCCTGAGTGTTTCCACTTTTTAACATAACCTTGACGTCAAGGGTAACCTCCATCCATTGCTCATAAGACTCGCGCGCTGCAATGGTTGGAGGTTCCAGTGTAATATCTATTATTTTTCATTGACAATTTTTTTTCATAGTTCTAAATAATCAATCGATTTTGAAAAATTTCAATATTTTCAAACAATAAAATTTCTACAAATAAGAAAACTGACAAAATAGTGAAAAATTACCTTTTTTAATTTTTCATAGTGGAATATAGTTTCACTTTTTGAAGAATTAAAACAACCCATAAAAAGATCAATTTTGATTGGTTTAAATTTCACTGATGCCCTATCAAAAATTAACTACTGGGGCAGTACAGCGCCAGTACTACCGCGCCAGTAGTGAACACTGGTAATTTTTGGTAGGGTGATTGTTGTAAAATTCAACATCTTCCATTATATTTATTATTTTTCATTGCTAAATTTGATACACTTTTTTCATTCTTCTGAAGAATCATTCGTATAAGAATTTTGAAAGCTTTAAATCATTACATCATTTTTCTCAGTGTATCCGAGTAGGTTTTAAAAGAAACTTCCAATTCACACATTCGTTTGTCAAAACACAAAGACTCATTAAAATAAAATTCCTCCTAAAGACAATACATGTCCTGCATTTGCAAAATTTAAATTCAGTTTATCGCAGGATGTGTAAATAAAGATAAACCAATATTACCCAGCCGACAACAAGACTTATTTTCAAGTCAGATTTCAAACAGAGAGTTTCTTTCAAACTAATCACGTACCTTTAAATATTCTTCCTAAATAGCTTCATTCTCTAGTAGTTTCGTTTAAAACCACAACAGACTCATTCATCACACTAAATATGTGTCGTGACGTCACTTGGTCATACGTCACGACATTTTTCCAGGCTTCTCATTACGTGCACGACCTACGTATCACTCATTATTAAATGAATGTCAGCTGTTTTTATGCAAGTTCTCTTAATATGTATGACAATTATAAATAAACAATTATTGTAAAATTACTATTACCGGCCACAGTCCTAGGAACGATAACTATTCCTTCAGTGTAACAAAATTAAAAATAAATTGACATGAAGTACATTTATCCTTTTTTTATGTGAATAAAAAAGTTGTTAAAAAATGACAAATCAAATTTCTAAAAAAAGGTTTTTAATTTAATTACTTATTTAAATAAATATTTTTAAACTTTATCAAAAAAAAATTCCCTGACTTTTTCCTAACCTTTTTCCAATTTTTCTTTAATAAATATTTAATATTAAAAAAATGAAAAGTATAAATTATTAAAGTATTTTTAAGATAATAAAAAACATTTTATTTATTAGCTTTATTCACTTTTTCTTGCACCAGAAAATTTTAAAAATTCATAAAAATGTTCATTTTTGGCAAATTTTTAAAAAGTTCCCTGACATTCCCTGACCGCTGGACACCCTGTTTATAAAAGGATTGCAAAAACCATTTAAGAACTAATACCTTTTGTAAGATTAAAACATTAAAATAAAGAGATATCTCTCGGATATCTTATATTTTAAAAAGAAAAATATCTACGAGAAATAAAATTTAAATGTACTAACGGTACAATAGATGAAAAGATAGTTACCGGAATTCTTGATGAAGTAAATGACTACAAGATAGGATAGATTTTTTTTAAATGAATTATTTAACGAACCTCGTTTGTCATCTAACAGCGGTACTTTAATTCGATGTTTATTTCACAAAAAAGGCGTTGAAGACTACCTGAGAGGAATAACTGTATTTCTAGTCTGGAGCGAGAAGAGGCACCTACTAACAGACTGAAGATCTTAATGTCCCTGTGTACTATTAACTTCTTCGGTGGTAAACCTACATCGTGGCATTTTTCAGAATAACAGCAATAACAAGGGTCAAACTGGTTTCTTCTCCCTCTCTCTCACTCACTCACTCTTATATATATTTTCTAAAAGGACAAAAGGGCAGGTCGGCCGTTTAAAGATAAACAAACTTAGCTTTTGTGAGACGATAATAACTGTAAACGCATTGAAAGTTAATTTCAGAAGAGATTTGGAAATTTCACGAACATTAAGTGCCTTTTATGCACTTGAAAAATTCAACTTCATGTATTATTTTCAACTGCGGAAGAACAGCTGCAACTTGCTCTCTTTGTTTAGTGCCAGCTGTTGGGCCTTACATTTAAATCGATAAATCAAATTTCTCTTCTAAATAAAATAAACGAGTAATATGTATAAATATTTTTTTTTAATGTTTAAATGAATTTCAAGAAGTAAAAATAATTAATGCAACAAATTGAGATGATAAATGAAAAAAAATTCATAGCTTTGAGAACCAACGCTTTTTTATCAGAACAAAGAAGGAGTTTTCGAGGAAGCCGATGTTCAAGGCATCTCACATGACCCCGCCCGAATTAAAGAGGAGCGAACACTCTAAACTCCCCAAAAAGTTTGAAAGCGAAGAAAATGTGCAGCATCTCAGCTTTTTTTTATATTTTTCTCATTTTTAATTCAAAAAGTAAATTGTAACTTTTATTGTTGAATAATATTATCGAAGTTTAAAACTGTTTAACACCTTTTAAGAATGTGAGAACGGACATGGTGGGAATTTCAAACAACATCTTTTTTATTTTGTATTAACAAAAACTACCTTCAATTATTAGTACTGGAAACAACTTTTTTGTTTGTCATTTCTGTCGACCCAGTATCTCCCTCCAACTACCATAAAAGTGAGTTCATACGCCATTGAGATAAAAAGTGAATAATTTTTTTATTTTGAGCTCAATTTTAATAATATATATATTAACTTCTTTATTTTTAGTGCTGATAAGAAATAAAAAAAATCACGTGTTGACCGGGATAATTCCTAAAGACTTGTTCGTAACAATGATCTATAAACATCTCGTAATGTGCTGTTGCGCACGCAACTACTCTTCCGTGTGGAGAAACAAGATTAGAAAAAACATGCGTGTGACGTGTCGCTCATGAAAGATACAAGATATCTCTTATCGTATTCCTGCTGCTCTAAATTCGCGAAACGAACGTACGTGACAACAGACACTTATAACGCTGCTCGAACGTGCTTTACAAACACACAAATAAAAGAACTGCTTTACTTCCGGTTTCTTAATTGGTCACTTTCCTTTCCAAGTTATGTTTCTGAATGTTTAAAAGAAACAGAATTATGGTTTCAAATTCACTGAAAAAAATGATCAAATACTTCCATTAAAATATAAATAAATTTATCAAATATCTTTTTGAATCTAAACTCCGAAAGTCAACAAAATAAAAGCAAGGAAAGATTTAAATATTTGAATTCAAGATGAATTAAAAGTATAATTATTCGAATTGAAAATCGATTAATTTAAATGGGTAGTATATGTATATGTAGTTTATAAAAAGCCGTTATTGAATTTTCCAGAAAAGTATTTTAAAGTAATGTATATATATTTAAATATGTATAGATTAAAATTATCTTATGGGTAAGAATTCCTTAAGTGTATCAAACAGTATTTTATTCAAACTTTGTATTTTCCTAGTAATAAATTTTAAGAAAAACAAAACCCTGCGATATTTTTTTCAATTTAAAAATAATAATTAAAAAATATTTTAATTAGCACTTTCGAGAAGTTGACGATTTTTTACAATTTAAAAAAAAACATTTCCATTAACTGCTTGAATTTTACATAAATTAACAAATGCGTTAGTTTTAAGGCAATAAATTTACAACTGGAAATAAAGAATATCAAATTTTCAAATTCACTACATTGAAGGTATACCTGTTCTTCTTATGTTAAAATTACACAAATATGTGAATTTACTACATTCAGTTTAAATATTGTAAAATATTACCTACTTTCAATGGAGTGAATTTAAAATGTTGAGAAAAATCACAACATAACATTTTCTACACATATATTGTAATTTTACAATATAATTTTGTAACTATTGTCTTCCTTTGTAAATTTTTTACATTAAAACTCAAGTTAATTAAATATAGAAATTTTTCGTTTCTGACAGCTGCTGCACCAAAATTTTGTTAGTGTTGGCCGTAAAGTTTCTACTTATTTAAATCGGTAGAAAATTTAAAAATTCATAAATAAAAGTTCATTATTGTACAATTGTCTAAAAAATTGTAACTTTCAAGTTAATTTCCCTGCAACACATAAACTTGCAGGAATAGGAAAGCATTGCTTTAATATGCAATTTTAAAATATTGAGTCATTTTTACCAATATAGCTACAAGTTTATGTTGTATAAGGGTTCTCTAACAGTCCCTTAGCACTAGACACCCTGCCTACTGTTTTCTAAAACATCCATACATAGTAAAAAATTTTGTGATTTAATAGCAACCGGAATTGGGAGTAAAATTTTTGGAGTTAAAAATCAACTCCATAAATAAGTTAACTATAGATTAACTCCCTTAACATCAACTCCAAAAGGGTGGGACTTTATAGAGTCCCTAACTTCCTTTTTTTACTGTGTAAAACTAAACATTTTTGTCTTTCTTTCATTATTATCATTAAACTTATCTCGACTTGCTCACTCTGGAAGTTCACAAACGAAGCCACAGCCACGGAGTTTCTGATATTCACGTTCCAGAGAATAAAGTGGACTTACCATTGGCCTTGAAAGTAGTGGCCGTTTCAAAACTGGGAGCCCTCACGGGATGTTTTTCCTTGGTTCTATCTTGCACGTAACTGACCGCAAGACTCACTGCAGGAAGGGAATCTCCCCTTGTCAAGGGTGGCCTAACAGGATGCTGTTCCTCGAGAGAGAGACGCTTTTCAGCGTGCTCATCCTCATCGATCGTGGAAATTCCTCTTTTGAGCTGAGTGATTCCACGATTGTGACTCAAATTAACGTGATGAGCCACTGCGGCTAGATGAGCATTCGACATTCTCTGGACACTATTGTTTCTCAAGCCATTAGCGATCTCATGAGTTTCCTCATGCTGTCGAGTCAGCTGCTGTCTAGAACCGGAGTTGAATTCCGTTATGGAGTTTCTATGGTGCAGCTGTGAGTATCCAGCAATGTTGTGATGCCGTGAGTGGCTCTGCCCGGCATTCTGTATGGGAAGAACGTCCAGGTTCGTGCCACCGTTATGTTCAGTGTGTGTAGACGTTCTATATGTTTTCGAAGCAGAAGGTCGTGAATCCTGAAAGCCGTGGGCCTTCTTCAACTGCTTAGCTGATTCCAGGACGAGATCTATTCTGTCGGCCCCCTCGTAATTGACACAACCCCGACAGACGGGCTCTGAAAAATCCATAATCATTGCCCAGGGCATCCTGGGTAGATCGCACAAATAACACTGGGTACGTTTGCCCATCATTTTTGCGGTGCTCTTTTACCACTTAAAAAAACTTTCACTTCACGAACTGTGTATGTGCTCCGCCCCCTAGTACATGTTCCACGTTTAAAAAAACAACTATATCCAATGTACACACAACACCAACAAAACGTGCACTGTTCAATTCACTGCACGGATTTGTTTTCCTTACAAGAATAAAAAAAATTTTAAACACACCGTTAGATTTGCAATGACGCTTTTCGACTCTTAACTCGGTCGCGAAAAGAATTGCGGCACAACTCTGTGACGGAAATCACAGCGCGTAGCAACACTGTATAAACCAACTGAGACTTTAAACTGAGACAAGGAGTATATTGATGGTGACGTAAAGAAGTAGAAAAAACGGAAAATTGTAGAGAAATGGATTACACGAAGGTGAGAACCGATTGTAGTAGAACGTACACGAGACGCGGAATAATGGTTGGCGCGCGAGACGTGTTCTATCTGCTGCTGTACACGAAGACGAACGCTCGAGAATGCAGGCAGCGGCAGAGCGGGTTCATGGGTGTCGCCCCCTTCCCACTTCCCTTGGCGTCAGTCTCCACCAATGGGAGCTTGTGGCGTCACAGTGTACGACGTCATAATTGAGGGCGCAGGCGCGCTATGCGTACCCGGGGGGGAAACACGTAGCAGCGACCGGGACTCTTTTGCGAATATGACCGGGCGCGTTACGATTACAAGGGGTAACGGGTGGAGGGGAGAGGGATGGGGGTGGTGGAGTAGGGGGCAGGGTTGAGGCAATTCAGGCCGTCTTTACACCCAAGAAAACCCGCACAAAACCGCACCGTGTGTACGCGGCAAACTGTTTTTGGGTCATTCCAGGCAACCTGAGTGTTACGAGTCTTTACGAATGGACAGGTCCATTCGTCCTGAACCCATTCTTATTCTTTTATTTTTATATTTTTACCCTTTTATCATATAATTTTCCCATTCAACTTTTTTTTTTCTATAAAACATTCAGTACTACAATCGTCTACTTGAAATTATTGTTCAATTTCTCAATATTCGTTTTACAATGTGCTCTCTAAATTTGAATTAGTGAAAAGTGAGATACTAATTCACATTAGTAAGAATTTTTAGTAAAATATTACTATTTCATTTATTACTTTAAAATTTTTTTTACTAAAGTTTTAGTAAAAAGTGACTAAAAATTAGTGAAAATTCTTACTAATTTAAATTAGTAGCTCACTTTTCACTAATTTAGATTTAGAGAGTATAATATTATCAAGGCGTAAAATTTACAGATTAAGTATATCTACAGTTATCTCTCTGTTAAAAATTAACAAAAAAATAACTCGACAAAAAGTGGACAAAATTATAAAGCAATTTTTCATTGCTACAAAACTGTGTACTTAGTTGTTTTCGGGGTCTCTGATTACGAATTTAATGTCAGTTTTTTAAAATTTTAAATGGCGGATCCAATATGGCGGACATATTTGGATTTTTTTTTTAAATTCATCAGATTTTAATACAAAATCTTTACTCGGGGGTTTTCGGAATAGTTGATCACAATTCTAAAGTCAGAAACCACAAAAAACCCACAAGTATTAATTTTCAGAAGCCTACACGGAGAAAAATGAGTTTGCTAGTACACGGAAAGAAATTTTCTGTAAAATTTACAGAAACTCCTGCGCCATCTACTGATGTTTCTCCAAATAGAGAAATATGTTGAATCATTGGCATTAAAATCTGTTAATTCTACAAGTTTGAGCTACAGTTCTTAAAAACTGTTGAGTGAGCAAATTATGTATACTATATGGGGATAATATATATTTGGTAGAGTATTTCTTATAGGTTATATTCTCCTCCGAATACATTAAATTCGCGGAACATTATTGTATAAATTAGTATAACTTCTATGTAAATAAATTCATCCTTCAATAATTTTCTAACAAAAAAAATGAGGAGCAAGTTTTCAAAACTTATGATAAATCCACTTTTTCTTATGTCGAGAAATTGAAACAAACGACTTTTCTCACTTAATCACTACAGTTAATTTTAAAATAAAAAATTTGTAACAATTTATTTCTATAATAATGTTTATATACTTAAGACGTTTCCTTTTTAATTAAACTTTCTTGCCGACACTATGATAATAATAGAAACACTAAATTCGCCTTAACCTCTCGCACTCAATCGTACTCAGCCTTAGTCGAATCACTGCATTGTTTTCGCGCATGCGTTAAAACCTTACAGAAAATATCTGTAGAATTAACAGATTTAGGAACATGTAAAATCTCCAAATCGATGTTAAAGAATTACCAGAAAATTTTTTTCCGTGTATATGGATAGCGAATTTTTAGCTCTGGTAGCTAATATTTAGCTGCCACAGCAAAACTTGTTAGCTATGAAAGCTAATTATTAGCTGTATTAGCTAACAGTAATTGCTATCCATATAATAGCTAAAGTAACTAAATTTTAGCTAATACACGGTGGTCCTTAACTCACTTTAACCCAAAAGTTTCTTCACTGTAAAATTTCTTCCATATCTTGAATCTGGACACTTTTCTGAGTATTTTGCAAAAAAATTCAAAATCTTTTATCTTGCCGTTTTTGAGAAAATCGATTTTTAGGTTAAAAAACAAAATTTTTAATTTTCATGAGGAACAGTGTCTAATATCGCGGTAATGTGCATATAACAGTGGGCACATTTAATGTTCTTCGCTCAATTTTTTTATTCTTTGTGTTCCAAAATGTTTTAAGAAATTCTGTAAAAAAGTTAAATAAACTACTCTTCTCAACAAATATTTTTAATTTAGTATAAAGTTATTAAATTACATAATTTTTTATCCTGATATTACACAATTTTTCTCATAAAACAAAAAATTCAATTTCTTAACCTAAAAATCGATTTTCTCAAAAACGGCAAGATAAAAGATTTTGAATTTTTTTGCAAAATACTTAGAAAAGTGTCCAGAATCAAGATATGGAAGAAATTTTACAGTGAAGAAACTTTTGGGTTAAAGTGAGTTAAGGACCACCGTGAATATAGTTAACTATTTTTCTCCGTGTAGCACAACTTTTTGAATTTTCAACCGCCATATTAGAGCAGCAATTTTCAATTTTTGATAACAGGCATCTGATTCTTGATCAGCGACCTCGAAAACCTCCGAGTAATGCTCTTCAACTGAATCCGATAAATTAAAAGAAAATTTTTTAATGTCCGCCATATTGGATCCACCATTTTGAATTTTCAAAAACAGACCTTGGATTTGTAATCAACGACCCGAAGTACTATTAAACAATGTTAAAATATAAAATTTTCTATGCAGGATTAAATGAACAGTTTTGGTATTGATTTCCGTAATTTAATAAAACCGTAGGAGGGTTAAATAATATTGTAATAAATATTTTGAAACATTTAAAAGTTTCTATAATTTTTGTCAATTTTCGATTTTCATTTATGCTACTTGTTCAACTGTGAGTTATATTAGAAAACAATAAAACTGGAAGCATAATTTAAAATTGTACTATATAGTAAAGTGCGGCTATTCATGGACAATATTGTATAAATCACTATAGTCACTGTTAATTCTGTAAATCAATTCTCAATATTTCTAAAATTCACATATACAGTATTCATAATCAAAAAAGTTTATAGTAATATTTAACAGTTAGTTCGAAAAAGTGAATTTTAATATTGACACTGTTAAAAATTGGTGAGTCATACATAAAAGAATAGAAATGGGGAAATGAAGAAGGAAAGAACGACAGATTTATTGAGGTTTTGAGTGAAATGGAGAACTAGAATACATTGAGACACACATTTATACATTCATCTCTACCTAACAGCCTAACTTAAAACTACCTATATACACCTAAATACGCATAATACATATAAACGCTCGCTCGCAACTACGCTGAGAGGTGAAGGCAGAATTTTCCTTATATACTAAACGGCAGAATTTTTCTGCGCTTGTGAGAAACGATGATTATATAATTGTCTCCCTAAAACAATTTTATTTTAAAATAATATGCAATGAACTATAATTAATTAGTAGTATTTTTGCAATGATCAATTTTAGTATGAAGTTATCCAGGTGGAAAAGTTCCCGGTAGTGACTACCGGTACCGCTACATGTACAGTCACTACCGGTAGCGAATACCGCTAATTTTTACAGGAATCACAACCAAAATTTTTGTAATTAAATTAAAATAAATAAACAAGAAATTAAATACATTACAAGAAAGAAAAGAAATGTAATGCCATTATTTAAATCCAAGTTTTATTTGTATAAGGGTGATTCTCTCAAAAAGGACAAATCTCACTTTCACGGTAATTTGTTCAAAAATAATAAAATTGATTGAAATTATTAAAGATTCTGTTATTAAGATTTAACAATTTTCAATCGGATCACTAAAGAAAAATTCAAAAAAAGGCTAAATAACTGAAATATTGAATAAAATCTGATGTTACGAAGAGGAGTTTTAACACCACTTTTCATTAAATAATTTAGTTATTTGACCTTTTTTTGGAAATTTTCATTAGTGATTGAAAATTGTTAAATCTTATCGTATAGGTGGCAGATTTTTATTAATTGAAATTAATTTTATTATTTTTGAACAAAAACACCGTCTAAAATCGTGCACGTTTTGATTTGTCTGGTTAGGTTGTTCCCGCGCGGCACGTTCATTCTTCATTCGGGTGAATTCGTCAATTATCGGTCATCTACGAAGCCAGGGCCCACAAAGAATCAATAGTGGTCGATATTAAACTTCTAAAGTAAAAATTTTAATTTTTCACATCGATATACCTGCGGCTATGGTTTTAAGGTCTTTTCATATTTACTATGTTAAAATTCCCTAACTATTATTTTAATTCTTGATATTTTCAGTTACATTTCTTCATTAAGTACCCTATTAAAAATTACTTGTCTCAAATTTAATATCGACAAAAATCGAGGGGCTGTTCACTCTCGAATACCCGATTTGTAATGTAGAGAATATACTAGGTATCTTCCGAATATTCATCAATTAACATAAGAAAATGTAAATTTCTTGATTCTGAATATGTTGTATTTTAATTGGAGATTACCGACGATTATTGAAAAGGACGTTCGAATTTGTCGAATATACTATGCGAATCCAAACGAATCTCGTCGATTCCAGTAAAATTCTAAATCATGCAGTAAGAATTGTTGCGAGTCACGAATGGTTACGGAGACATACGAGCGAATTCGGCGGCGAATTATACAATTAATCTATTTTTCTTGCAATCTTACTCTTGCAAGTAATTACTGCAAATAAAATGAAAGCACTATTTCCCTTAATTTCAAAATAGGAATTACAAAAATGACTAGCAATCCTTAAAAATCTTTAATGAATTCTCAAATATTGTTAAATTGGATTTTCAGTGAACAGCCCCTCGACAAAAATTAATTTTTCTAAGATACTATATTAAATGTCATTTTCTTTCACTAGTAAGTATCCATATCGTAATTTCAAATATTCAAATAATATTATGAATAACTATTAGCGAACCGTGAATAGCCTCCTTTTCATATCGAGTAT